TTAAAAGTACGTAAATTCAATTACTAATAATGTTGCTTTATCAATCACCGTTCATAAATAACGGACACTTTCACTGAATATTGCGATCATCACGCATGTACGGTATTGAACGCACCAGCGGAGTAGGTAGATGATGATGGGCCCTAGTGCAAGATATAATTGCTGGGCCTTCTGATTTGAAGCGTCAACCCTGTCCAGGTCCTATGACTTGAGGACCTGGACAGGGGACCGCAGATTGTATGCGAAAAATATATTTCACTAAGTGCTTCTTTTTAAAATTCATTTAAAGCTACATCACTGCACACACAACGAGCAAAGGTAACAGGAAAACAATACAGAAAATGCAGCGAAAGGAAATAGATGAACAGGGTTCAAGCACCTCTACATCCCCCTTGCACATTAATAGATACAAAATACTACATAAAAAGATATAAAAAAGAGATATACATTGAACATTATAAAATATATATTTTTATATTATTACACAGAAAATCATTTAGTTATTATTAATTTAATTAAACTAATACATACAATAACTTTCAAAATAGAAATATTCCCTCACGATCCTATATATATTCCCTCGTGATCCTATATATTAAGTCATCAAGCTTGGCCAACCAATTTCAATTCTTTAATTTTTCCATGAATGTTCTGCTATTAAAAATATTTAATATAGTAACCAATAAGAGAGATGGAATTGTTATGAAGAGTTGATTGTAGCTGTACATTTTTTAATAAAGATAAAATGTTGCCTACTAAAACGATGTAACAATATGAAATATTTGCATATAGGCCTAGTCATGAGAAAATAAACACAATCAACTCACTGTACTTCTCTCAATATTGATCGATGCAGACGGAAGCAACATGCTCATTGTATTTTAAATATTGAGAACCTTCCAATTATCGTAGAATTATGCTTATTAAAAAGCAATATAAAAAACCTTTTCATCGTCATATGGGCCTATTGCAAGACACTGAGAAACAAACAGCTGCAGGTTGCAGGTTTTAAATGAACGCAATCAACTCACTATACTTCTTTCCATATTGATCGATTCAGACGAATATAAAAAATAAACATTTTCATCGTCATATGGGCCTATTGCAATACACTGAGAAACAAACAGCTGCACGTTGCACGTTTAGTATGGTAATTATTTTGACTCCGTCTTCGAAAAGCACAATCCAACAATATTTTCATCCTATAGGCCTCAACAGAATGCCTCCATCTATCTCTGTTGGCTGCTGCAACTCTAGCTGTTCCACTCACCCCACACCCCACCATGATGTCCATCGTTATTTATTTCGTTTCGTCTCCATGTTGTTTTTGGTCTTCCTCGTCTTTGCTTTCCTTCCGGTGCCCATGTCAAATGCAGTGTTGCAGTCATTCCCTTGGTCTCTTGTTTGTTTAATGTTTCATTTCTAGGTAAATTTACCGTAATTGTTTACATGTACCTACAAGATTGGGTCTACACACTTAAATGTCAAATAAACTCATCAAAATATTTAAGCCTACTACTTCTCGAAAATAGAAGTAAACACCAACACATTAATCTATTGTGAGTTTTTATTTTACATTTCTGTGCTAAAAATTATAAATAAACGGAACATGTGAATATATACAAGCCATCATAATACAGACGCGGATCCAGACCTTCGCCCAGTTCGCCCAGGCGAAGGTCAGGGTGAGAAATAAAAATAAAATGTTGATCATTTTTCAAACAATCATACTTAATTTTCTTGACACTTATATTGAACATTACCATTAGGACATTGTTTAAATCCACACTAGCCTATATCTTACACTTTTACACTGATTGTACTGTAGACCCTACCAGAGGTACATTCCCATGTAATTATGGTCTTCCATTTCTATAGCGCATGATACAGTGCATGACAAACGTTACATAACCACCCACTACTAATTTAGAGTCGCTCAGCTCAGTCGAACATGTGTCTGTGTTGGCACTGATACTGTGTGTTTTAGCATTGTTTTAAAGTAATAACCTATCAGACATTTCACATAACAACTAAACGAATGAAAATATATTTGGCTTAGCTGTTTTTTCAGCAACAGTGGCGAATGTAGGATTTAAGGAAGGAGGGTGCTGATGAAATGAGAGTCCACACCACGTCAGCGCCACCATGGTTGGCGGTGACGCGAAAATTTCAGTATTTTATACCTCTGGATGCCCGGAAATGGAACTTAAACTTACCTTTTAATTCTTTTTATTTTTTGACGAATTGACTAAAAAAAACCGTACCCGGAAATGGCACTTAAATACTTAAAATTTATAAACTACTATATCCAACTGAGCCCCACCATGGTTGTGGCTCGGTGAGAAATGTTTAAGAATTTGAGACTCGTATAGATGCCAGAAAACGGCACTTGATCCTTAAAATCTATGAAAACTACCAATCCATCCACCTCAGACCATCATGGTTGAGGCTGAGGTAAGACAATTGTAAGAATTTGAGACTTTTAGATGCCGGAAAATGGCACTTTAATACATAAAAGCTACGAAAATGACTATATCCACCTGAGCCCCATCATCTAACATGGATGGAGGTGAGAAAATTTTAAGGGGAACTTTCAGATCATTCCTGATGATGACATAATTAATGTCGAAATATTGAATCCCGACACGATGGCGTGCATTTCGATGTATTATACTATCTTCTGAGATTAACCAGTGGACCTTTCGGTTTTTGGGGACATTTAGATGACAGGAAATGGCACTTTAATACATAAAAACTATGAAGATGACTATATCCAGGCACCCTGAGTACCCCACCCTGCATACGCCACTGCAGCAATATCCACCCGGTTAATTATGAGCAAAGTTATAACTTTTGTTTATGACTGTTCTCCACAAATCTCTGATTTCCATAAGTTTTGGAATGTACGGTACTGCCGCTGTGTGTTTAGTTCCTTTTCTAATTGCTTGATGCATATAGCTGGGGCTGTCCTTGCTTCCTTTTCCCATGGGTTGGTTCCCAAAAGAGAACCATTGAAATAACTTCATTTTTACTTCTGTAGCAATGTCCAGAAAAATGCTAACCTTCGTGCCTCTAAGTTCTTGATGCAGGGGGAATGTCCAGCAAAATTCTAACCTTCGTGCCTCTAAGTTCTTGAATGTCTCGTTACAGGTCTTTATTTGTAATAGGCCTATATTGTTTATAGTTGATATTAAAGGCTTGTTTGAGTAATCTATCTTGTATAACAACCATCAAGTCCTCTCTCTTCAGAATCTATTCGTTTCTTTTTAGAGAAATTCCGTAATTAGCAATATTTGTTTTAAAACCTTAGGTCACCTGAGCGTTAGAAGATTCCAACATGCAGTGCGGATTGGAGGGGAGCAGTCGGCCCGGGCCCCCGTAAATAGGCCTATCTAACAATTATTTTTAAAGAATGCCAAAAAACTGAAAATTATATTCAAATCATGAGAGTGCTCTTTACGGCCATCTAGAGGCGACTTTATTTTAATTTTTCTTAACTCAGCCCCAAACATGGTGTGGCTGAGGTGTCTATCTGTGAAGATTGGAGTCCTTTTTTTGAATGGGAGATCACTGCGGCATCATGAGCAAAGAGAAATTCTCTGAGTAGAAGTTGTGATGTTTTAGTCTTTGCTTTCAAGCCGCTAAGATTAAATAATCCACCATCTGACCTGGTTTTTATATAGATGCCTTCATCACAATAATCAAAGACATGTCGTAACATCATAGCGAAGAAGATTCCAAAGAGGGTTGGTGCGAGCACACAGCCTTGTTTGACACCATTTTTATATCAAAGCTTCTTGAAGATGTACCATCAAAATTTACTCTACCCTCCATTCCGTCGTGAAAAGCATCGACCATGTTGAGGAGTTTTTGTGGGAATCCTATCCGAGGTAATATGGCAAACAGACCTTTCCGACTGACAAGGTCAAAAGCTTTCCTAAGATCTATGAAAGCGATGAATAGTGGTTTATTTTGCTCTCGACACTTCTCCTGGAGTTGTCTTACAGACAATACCATCTGTTGTTGATCTTTTCGCTCTGAAGCCACACTGTGACTTACAAAAAGTAAATTATTAATTAGTGAAGAAAATCAAATGTTTTAATTATTCGAGGAAACAAAGAAAATGTAGATGTGTCGAATATCTTGATGTTCCTCTGGTCTGTTACTTTAAAAAAAAACATGCCAAATGATCATTATGCAATAGATGAATTCATTTCATTACCATATGACTATTTCTTGCTTGGATCTTAGGTGTTTGAACTAATCAGTGGCAGTGACGGCAGACGAATATGGGCGTTTGACAACCATGCTGCCAAGGTGTCCATCAGTAACTTCTACACGTCACAGTTCATCCACGACGTTGATGGCGATGATGTGCAAGACATCTTAACGATTCATGGCGGCGATCCACTGAGGAAACCAGGTGAGTTACGGCAAGAAGAGAGTAATTTCAACTTGATACATTTTTTTTTATAGAATAAGTCATAATATTACTCTATTATTGTAAAATTTCACTGGTTGGGAAAAATAACCAGGTTTCCATAAAATCGCTACACGCGATGTAGCAACAGTGTAACGATTTTATGGAAACCATGTTGCCTGCTAGCAACTATTTACAGATTTACTTGTTTATATATCGTTTGATATAATTATGTTCATCATGTTCTATTATATTCTATCACAAAAAGAAATGCGCGCAGTAGCTCCTGCTTTTTTTTTACACCAACGTAGTTAAGACATTTATCTCATATCATTGTATTCATACAGCTAGCGCCCCTCTCATTTTGATCGCACACTATCACCCCACCCAATGCTAATAATACCAGATATGTCGCCGCTGGTTCATTTTACGACACCACAAGTACGATGTACCTACATTATTATGAATCTATTGTTTACCAACAATATACAAATATATCAATGACGTGATCAATGACGTGAAACAAGAGGAAAAGAAAAGTAGTGCACTAAGTTTAAGAAGATTTCTATTTGCCTCTTTAATAATTATATTTATCTTATTTTTGAATTCCTTGTTTCACCTCGCTAGCTAGTGTTATTTGGTCCAGATCAAGCCTTAACCGATACTAGTCAAAGATCATAAACACAGACCTCAAGTTGGTTGTGACGGTATAAACCTATACTTCGATTCAGATGCTAGCTTGGTGTTTATTGAATTTTTTTTTTGTTTTTGCTTTTTATTGTGCTATTTTTCGTTGTCTTCCTACGTACAGTATTGTCGAGCTCATACAGAACCCGTTTATTTGCTATTTGTGCTTTATAAATCCATCTATTATTATTATTATTATTATTATTATTATTAGTTTTGTAGGGCAAAAAATTAATTAAATGTAACTTTGACTGCTGATAATGTAAATAGATAAAACTTATTCGACACAAATGATATTAGTTTTCAAAATCTTTTAAGTGTTTAAATATTAGATTATGGCTAATCAAATCGTTTTGTAGGATAGAGAAGATTCTTACTTAACTATGAGCTACTATAGCACTGAACTTACCATGGTATTTCTCTCCCAGGTGCAAATGTGTCTTATGCGGGCCGATTGATATTATTTAGCGGAGCAACTGGGCATGTAATTACCTGGTCTATGGTTCCAGACAAGATGGAATCCTACTATTCACCGCAGGTATTGCTACTTGGTACATTTATGTTCATGATATAATTCACTTGATGAAACTGACATAACTATCTGGCGAAAGCTAATACAGTTCACGTAATGTTAAGCGTTAAGCATAACAGAGCGACTAAATGTATTATTACTTTGTTTTTGTTTTTGTTTTTTTTTGTATTATGATGTTCCCTATTGAAGCTTTGTTACTAATAATCTAATTGATTTTATCAAAAGCATCTGTTGATCGATCGATCGTTTGATTGATTTAATCACGTTTTTGTCTCTCAGGTGTACTTCGACAGCCACGGGGAGAAGGTTGTACTGTTTGGAACTGGCGGAGAAACAATTGGAGGCGCACTTTATGTGATCAAACTCGATTATTTCATTCGTGGTCATATGCAAATGGTAATTTGCATAGCACCCAATTGTACCTACTAGTATATATGAGAAAAGTAATTAGGCAATTATAATAATATTTTCAAGAGAGGCGTGGCAGGTGGCCTAATTAGATTTATTTCAGTAAGAAACATTTAAAGATTTAATAACCTATTTCTGATTTGAGAAACCACTATTTAAAAATTAAACTATAACACAATTTATTTAGGCTTCATTTTTATGAAATGATTTGACAATCTGTCATTGGTTTGCCTTAATTGTTTAGTAAACTATTTCTACAGGCAAGATGTTTATATAAAGATTCATATAAGGGAGTGATTACTCCCCCAGTGTTGCTAGACATAACACGTGACGGTGTAATGGATATTGTCATAGCAACCTTCAACTCTACAGTACTGGCTATAAACGGCGACAATTATGATATGCTGTGGAACTTCTCAATACCGATGTCGGAGACCTACTCAACCCCTGCTCCCGGCTTTTTCAATGATGACGATATTCCAGATTTTCTTGTAATATTTAATCACGGCCCAACATACCCTGTCTACTATTACTCTGAGGTGAGTTGGTACCTGACAAGCATGATGCGTAGCCAGGATTAAATAACATTGCTACACCATATTGCCGACAGCTTTCGTCGACGCTTGTTGGTCGGTTGAGTCGCGGAGCCGTCCTTACTGCGTCGGGACAGCTATTTACAGAAAATACGTTAACGGCAGAGTAGCAATTTTTGTAAACCGGGCACTCGATAGTGTTTTACCTTTGGTTATCTATGGAGGGCATTTTATTTTTTTCTCCTAAAATTTGTAATAAATACAATAGTAAATTTTACGCTCTCGTAATGCTCTTTTTTGCAAACGTGTGTACGATATTATGTTTATGATTATTCCCTCTTTACCAATCAGGTTAAAGCATATTTCAGTATAAACAATGTCATAAACAGAAGGTTTTATTGTTAAAACTCTTGGTGGCATTTCTAACTCAATAGTTCATTTGTGTATTGTAGGTGACTGTGTTAGATGGAAGGACAGGTCAGCCTCTGCTGGAACCCTTCATTCGTCATTCTGGCGGCATTCAGAGCTCTCCACTTACAGTTAACGTCGAAGGAACTGCTCAAGACATGTTTCTTTACTTCTCCTCAGATTGCTTGAACCACGAGGGCAAGAGTACCAAATTCTCATTTACAAAAAGTAAATTATTAATTAGTGAAGAAAATCAAATGTTTTAATTATTCGAGGAAACAAAGAAAATGTTTAGTTTGATCGTATTAATCTAAAGTAAACACTTTCGATCTGCGATCTGTCTCCAACTGTGTCTATGCATGGTGTAAGTAATGCTTTTATAACCTCTATGTAAGCTTAATGTCATTGTGCGATGACATATTGTCATTACACAGTTTATCTTGATTCAGTTAGAAAGCAATTGCTTGATATATTTTGGAAACGTTTAATCATTAAAACATTCCATGTCGTTGCAGATCAGTCTTGAGTAAGCTATTCAAATATTGAATCTCATTTTGACGTGTATTTCTGAACTCAAACCGTATTATTATTATGTTGCCGACCTTGTAATACAGGTTTATGAATATTTTAGATGGCTTTTTAAATATTCAATATTTTTCTTACTCCACTTAGCTACATTAAAGTCCGAAATCAATAGTGATTTGTGTGTGCTGCGTTTTAACACGAGTTCATTTTCACGTCTTTATGCAGTGAGTTCCATAACTGGCAGTCCTGGTGCTATCATTTATGATTCTCGTAAGTACAATACTACTATCTGCTTTAACTAACCGGGAACTAGAGTACAAATAAGTTGCCACACTCTGATATTAAATACTTGGTGGCCTCCATAGCTTTCTACAGAACGTTCCAGTAATCTTGTTTTTACGTGTTGTTGATATTTCAGTTAGTCATACTTCCGAAGAATACACGCATAGTGTGAACACAGGTCTATTAGCAAAGGCGTTTCTAGAAAAGTATCCCGAGACTGCGCAGTACGTCATAGATAGACAGGTAACGTCATGTAACAAGCAACATGAAGGCTCTACTTTATATATTATATTGATATTTTGTTGAAGAATACACGCATGTAAACACAATGTATTTTAGCAAACAAGATCGGATTATATTTCAACTACACATATAACATATAAACTACAAATATATGTATAACTATTTTCTATTTTTTCAATTATAATTTATCCATTATCTAAATATAGAATATCTTTAAATGCTGAATCTATTGTTTTAACCAATACAGAAGAGTAAAGATGATGAAAAAGAAACTGATAAAAGCGGAGAACTCATGACAACCACTGTAGATTCAGCTGACGTTTTAAATAATCAGAAACACGGTAATAAAGGCGATCAGACATCTGAGTCAGAAGATGGTATATTGGGCTCATATGGAAATAACTTTTTATCTAGTTATGAGAAAGAGTCTGAAAGATTAGGATCATATTACAACATTAAAACAGACACATTTACTGAAACACCAAATGAACATTCAAAACACTCGAAGGACCATAAAGTAATGCAGCTAATTAAAGAAATGAGAGAAAATGGATACTCTAAGTTGAACGTTGAAGGGGCTCGAAATGGTGATAGAACACGGCAGCACTCCAGTGACAGACATTCGGAACACCACGACAGACCAAAACGGCACGCCGGCCCTCATGATTCTGGCGGGCTACAACGGTTGATAGCAACTGGTACACTTGCTCCTAGTCTGAGTCATGATGATCATGGCATTGATTTGATCTTTCCAGTTTACTGGGCTTATCCATCACCGACAGAGGTATGGAATAAAGCATAAAAAGCGGTATCTGTATTTATTCATATAATTAATTTGAAACATTTAGCTGTTAACTTGCTCAAAGATTTAGAAAATGTTGGTGCTATGAATTATGATCGAGTAGAATGATTTGTTTTGTTCAACAGTTTGACAGATTTTGTGCAGTGGCTTCTGAACATTATGTTAATTTGCATTAGACTAAGATGTACATTCAAAGAAACAGTTCTGACTGCCAATACTCTTTAACATCAATTCAATATTTTTCTGTTCTTTCTTGCATGAAGTATTTGTATATGACAAGATTATTGTCTTTAGATATACTTTTCAATACTCTAATGTGTGTTTTTTTCTACTTTTTCAAACCCAGACATGTTTTTAAACATTTAATCATGTCGACTATATAATATGATAATAAATATATTGCTTACCCAATAACAACAGAATTTATCTCTGTGCTTCAGATTCTAACCGAAGATGAGCAGAAGTGTGTTGACCGTAAAATGGCAGCAGAGGGGGACAGAATGAATAGTAACAGTGAGTATAAAAAAAAATCAACAAAATAACATATATACTCACGTTTGAAAGCCATTTTATTTATAGAAGGTTCAACAGACACTATGTTTGTGTTACGGATCAAAGGTCAATTAAGTTGTAAAATGACGTATGGAACCGTAATTAGTCCGAAATGGATATTCCTTAGTGTACAGACAGAGTTTGCTTTAATTTCCATTCCGTTAGCTACTCCGATTAAATAATCATAGAGATGGATAGGGAGTAATGCAAATTACGTTCTGCGGGCCAGTGATTTTATTTTAATAAATACGACGGTAGGAAGTATTTTGGGTGGTCAGGTTTAATGTTATTAAAACAATTTCATTTTAAATTCTTTCAGGTAAATATTTTGGAATGGATCACGATGCATATGACCAAGTAGTTGAAGAGGAGTGCAAAGGAAATAACACTGGTAAAGAGATACACACAATGAAATTTAGAGCCTTAAAAAAGTATTCAGAACTTAATTTTGAAGAATAGGCCCAATTGGTTCCTCACCACACGAATTATGTTACACTGAGGCTGGGGGTCGAAGGACTCAGTTTAAAGCCGGACTCTCACTGGGCCCGACGGTGGTCGGCCGACAATTTCTTAAATACTCAATGAACTATTTATTTTTTTCTTTTTTACTTATAGATTCTATGAAAATAACTGAAAACATATTGCGGATGTACCCGTTTAATCTGCACATGGGCGAGATGACAGTTTACAGATTACACTTATCATGCCAGTTGATTGGATTTCTAATTAATGTTGATGATAATAAAATATAATCACATTAAATCAGGGGTGGCGAGGGGGCCGGGGGCCAGGGGGAGAGCTCCCCCCGGACCACTTTCGAAACCTTTTAATCGATGCTCGACCACGCCCACTTTGCTATCGTCGGGGAAATCTGACTTCTCGTGGAGGCATCGGCCACCACCACTCCCCCCCACCCGCCTCGTTCAAATCCTCGCGCCACCCCTGCATTAAATTACTCTTAATATGATGTGCCCTGAGTTAAAAATAGAGGGCACTTTTTAAAATTGCTACTAAATATCAAAACACATTTTTTCCATTAAAAACCCAAAAGGAAAGGGGGTCTGTGGGTCCTGGCCCGTGAAAATTTATATTGCTAGATGGCGGGAGTCGAGCTTTCTAAACTTCTGAGATGACTTTTAATAATTTCTTAAAAATTCAAGTTTTTTCCCTCTTGAAAACGATCCGGTAAACTTTCTTCTTTTTAATATAGTAAATAGGACTATGTGTATACGTACATAAAAAAAATTATACTTATTCTTATTTTTCCATGAATCGATAAATCCCAAAGAGAACGGGAGTCCGGGGCTCTAACCCCGGGAAAATTTTGATCCCTAGATGGCAGAAAATGAGCTTTCCCAACTTTTGAGGTGTCTTTTAATGACTTTTAAGTTCTTCAAATTGGGCGTTTGCATGTTCACATTTGAAACGCCAGGCGCGTCTTCGATTCAGCCGCGCGCGCCACATTTCAACGCGAAATTCGCTTGATCTCGTTCGGTGGAAACCGGCCTTAAGATGAAAATGAATATAAGACCTGTCCTAAAAAGTTTACTAAAAAGTCAATACAGCATAAATTCCTTTCGTCCTTTCGAAAATTTAACCCTGATGACCCCTATGTAACCACTGATGCCAGACAGGGGTGTAGGAGGTGTGTCTGGTTCTTAATGATCAAATTTCGGTTCAATCGTTTGCCATTAGTAACATTTTGAACCTTTGACCTATGAACTTTGACATATGGGGTAAAGAGTATTTTTTTCATGTTTAGAACGTCCTAAGGATCATTCCTTGTAAATTGGAGCTCAATTGGGATATTTTGAAAATGTAACCCCGATGACCCCTATGTGACCCCTGATCCCAGACTGGGGTGTAGGAGGTGTCACCGGTTCTTAATGACGAAATTTGATTGAATTTGGTCCAATAGTTTGCCATTAGTAGCATTTTGAATTGTTACTAGAGAGAACAAAAGATTAACCCTTTAATGACCTTTGATCATAAACCGCTGAACACCATAAAGACCCTACCTTATGCCAATACATATGTACCCAGGACAAGACTGTGCTATGTTATTTGTGACAGAAGAAGTCTTTTATTCATTTTTTGGAAAGTGTTTTACCCTTATGACTCTATGTGACCTTTGACCCCAAGCAGCGAACACAACCATGTTTGAGAGGTGTCACCGATTATACTGACCAGGTTTGGTTGAAATCGGTACAACCGTTTTGCACTAGTAGCGTTTTCAAATGTTGCCAGAAAAAAGATAAAAATTACTCCAAATGACATTTGACCCCTTATCCCTGAACACCCTATAGACTCTGCCTTATGCCAATGTATATGTGCAAAGGACAAGACCTAATGCCCCTTATGTGACCTTTGACCCCAAGTTGTGAACAACACATAGATGGGAGGTGGCACCGGTCCTACTGACCAAGTTTTAATTAAATCGGTCCAGTATTTTTACACTAGTAGCCTTTTAAAATGTTGCCAGAAAGAAAGAAAGAAAGAAAGAACTAGAGATATGTTCAATAGAACATGAACCCAATCATTTTTTAAGAGATAACCACTGTGACCTTTAACCTCAACTTGTGTACACCCCATGTTTGGTAGGAGTCTGTCTAATGCAATTGGTCCAATCGTTAGTCACTAGCAATATTTGATAATTTTCACTATAGTGACCCTTGTGATTTTTGACCTACAGGTGAAGAGTAGTTTTTCATGTTTAGAAGGTCCTAAGGATCATTCCTGGTAGATTCGAGCTCAATTGGGCTATTTTGAAAATTTGACCCCGATGACCCATATGTAACCCCTGGTGACAGACAGGGGTGTAGGAAGTGTCACTGGTTCTTAATGATCAAATTTGATTGAATTCGACTTATTTGTTTGCCATTAGTAAAATTTTGAATCTTTGACCTATGAACTTTGACATATGGAGTGAAGAGTATTTTTTCGTGTTTAGAAGGTAAATTTGAGCTCAATTGGGCTATTTTGAAAATTTAACCCCGATGACCCCTATGTAACCCTGATCCCGGACTGGGGTGTAGGAGGTATCACCGGTTCTTAATGACGAAATTTGATTGAATTTGGTCCAATGATTTGCCATTAGTAGCATTTTGGGATGTTACTAGAGAGAACAAAAGAATAACGCTTTAATGACCTTTGACTGTAAATCGCTGAACACCATAAAGACCCTACCTTATGCCAATATATATGTGCCCAGGACAAGACTGTGCTATGTTATTTGTGACAGAAGTCTTTTTTTAAAGTGTTTTACCCTTATGACTCCTATGTGACCTTTGACCCCAAGCAGTGTACACCCCATTATATGAGAGGTGTCACCGATTATACTGACCAGGTTTGGTTGAAATCGGCACAACCGTTTGGCACTAGTAGCGTTTTGAAATGTTGATTAAAGATAAAAATTACCCCTTAATGACCTTTGATCCCTTATTACTGGACACCTTATAGAACCAGCCTTATGCCAATGTATATGTGCAAAGGACAAGACTGCTACGTTATTTGTGAGACAAGTATTCTTTTATACGATTTTTGGTTTTTTGGCCCTAATGCCTCTAATGTGACCTTTGACCCCAAGTTGTGACCAACACATAAATGGGAGATGGCACCGGTCCTACTGACATAGTTTTAATAAAATCGGTCCAGTAGCTTGCCACTAGTAGCCTTTTAAAATGTTGCCAGAAAGAAAGAAAGAAACTGCTAAGAAAACATAACCCAGTCAGCTGAAGCTGACTGGGTAAGGAAAGAAGAAACTGCTAAGAAACAAAACCCAGTCAGCTGCTGCTGAATGGGTAAAGAAGAAACTGCTAGGAAACAGAACCCAGTCAGCATGTTGCTGACTGGGTAAGGAGGTACAGTATAACAATACATACTCCAAGTATCGAAATTTGTATTGGGCCAAGTTACCGTTACTCGAAACGTTCTGCACTGTTTCTTTGTTCATTTTATGTATAGATCGAACTTATATGGAAGGATATAATCGAAGGCATTCCTTAATCTAAACATATGATTTAATTTTTCATTGTTTACTGTAAACTGCCGTAGCCATCTGCTGGGGGAGAATGTTTCTACTTAGTGGATTTATCCTAGTACAGTATCGAGGAGAATTGCTCACTGCGCTGCCCAGCCAGCCGCTGACAGGCACCTTACCTAATCTGTCTTACAGTAGGCCTATATTGTAACGGAATTCCTTCCCAATTGTTAGAACAGCCCTTTGGGGTGGGTAAGCCCCCAATTAATTAAACAGTCATAAGCTAAGTTTCAATTGGCCAGTGTCGGGAATTTGAGGATTATGTTAATGAGCCATACGTGGGGGGACGACTTCAGTTGGTGCCCAAGGTACGAAACACATAATCCTATCTACTTTACTTAAGTAATAATAGATAACTCATAGGAACGACATTATTGACAATAAAATTGTGTTGTGTTGATAATTACTATCATGTTTATCGAGGTCGCTGGTGTACAGCTGCCATCGAACACTGACGCTCTTTTATATGCCAAATTGTCCGACAGACGAAGAGTTGCGTTTTATGTTTAATATAAAAATAATCTGCTTTTATAGCATTATTTAGACCCATTAAGCACAAAAATCCTCTTGCTTTGGGGGTTTCGCCGACCCCACCGGGGCTTCGACTGTGGACCTTACGTCTAGAAACCCCTCCTTTGACAGATGATTTAATTTTACATTGTTTACTGTAAACTGCTGTAGCCATCTGCTGGGGGAAAATGTTTCTACTTAGTGGATTTATCCTAGTACAGTATCGAGGAGAATTGCTCACTGCGCTGCCCCAGCCAGCCGCTGACAGGCACCTTACCTAATCTGTCTTACAGTAGGCCTATATTGTAACGGAATTCCTTCCCAATTGTTAGAACAGCCCTTTGGGGTTGGGTAAGCTCCCAATTAATTAAACAGTCATAAGCTAAGTTTCAATTGGCCAGTGTCGGGAATTTGAGGATTATGTTAATTAGCCATACGTGGGGGGACGACTTCAGTTGGTGCCCAAGGTACGAAACACATAATCCTATCTACTTTACTTAAGTAATAATAGATAACTAATAGGAACGACATTATTGACAATAAAATTGTGTTGTGTTGATAATTACTATCATGTTTATCGAGGTCGCTGGTGTACAGCTGCCATCGAACACTGACGCTCTTTTATATGCCAAATTGTCCGACAGACGAAGAGTTGCGTTTTATGTTTAATATAAAAATAATCTGCTTTTATAGCATTATTTAGACCCATTAAGCACAAAAATCCTCTTGCTTTGGGGGTTTCGCCGACCCCACCGGGGCTTCGACTGTGGACCTTACGTCTAGAAACCCTTCCTTTGGAAGAACCTGGCTACGAGCCTGCTCTTTGATTTTAAGATGATGTTGAAGAAGCGGAGAGTTACAAGTTTGCATGCGTTTGCGTGAATTCTTACGGTGTTTGAATATGTGAGAGTTGTGTTGACGGAAACAATTAACAGTGTTATGTTTCCTATTCTGTGCTCTGCTTATACTCTCTATTTAGTCTCTCATAAGCCAGTATAGGCCGGGTGGCCTTTGTACAAGGGTTACAAGAGAAACGTTTATAAATAAGCGTACTGTATGTTTCAAGATTATATCGAGATCATTACATGTAATTTGTTACGTGTGTAATTTTTAAGTGGCTGAGCTTTAACGCACTGCATGCTTGACGCCGTATCATTTCAAATCCCCCTTATACAATAAGACATTATCACTTCTTAACATACTTAAATCTAGTTCTAGATGACAAACTTAATATATTAATACATAAATACCGGAATGTTTGCATACGTCACACCCAAGCTATTGTTGATATTGGTTTTGTGAGGTACAAAGAGAGCCAACAGAGCGAATCAACAAAACACCACAGACAATCACCTAGTCACAGGTCAGTACCCATCAACAGATTAATACCGAATCAGTTTACCACAACCCACACTCATAGAAGTAATAAGGAAACGACTGTAGCAGTAAGCAGACAGCTATTTTTTTTATTTATCGATGTTGTTATTTTGATATAAAGTAAGTATATTAAGACCCATATTTACATGTAAAAGATCCTATCATTGTGATAGGTTTAGTAAAACACGATCAAGCTATACTATTTATTCAGAGGAGACTTAGGATTGGTAAGACCAGGGAGTTGTAAGACCTTAGCTAGTATCCAGCCAGTAGTAGTAGGCCTACATTTGGCTGCCACATTGTTCAGATACTATATAGGGCTTTTATTATTATCTAGAAATAAGTCTGCACTATATATTTATGTTGTATTTCCTTATAAGAGTAGGCCCAGTGGCGTATCTAGAGGGTGCACGCCCCACCAAAAATTACTAGCCCCCCCCCCGTCTCCCCCAAAATCACTGTCAAGTAGTTAAAAACTACCTAAAGTCACCTAATTTTGCGAATGAACGCCCCTTACAGATCATCGTGCCCCCACTTTACCTTCGCGCCCCATCAGCGCCCCCATTTGAAGACTTCTAAATACTCCACTGAGTAGGCCTAAGTAACTTCAGATTGCATAGAAGAGGTGGGTTCTTTTTATTCCTTGCAATAGAGGTCCAAAAACCCCTAAGTCCAGTTTGCTATGTTCTCATAAAGATTGGTCGATTGATTTACTGATTGATTGATTTATTTATTGATTGATTGATTAATTGGTTTGCTTGATTGATCCAATAGTAACCAGTGACAGTCACCAGTACCTTCCCAAACACATGCACTCATGTCTTTAACGACAATATAGTAGGTCTATACTATATCGTTGCCTGGTAATGGAATTGTATTTCATTATGGACAGATTTGTGATACTAGGATATATATTTCTATAATATTTTCAAAATTCACATTCGCCAACTGTGTCGGTGCCAATTAGGCCTCAATAAGTCAGTATATATACTGTCTCTTATACACATCTAGATGTGTATAAGAGACAGGCTTATGACTGTTTAATTAATTGTTAGAACAGCCC